TATCTATCTATCTATCTATCTATCTATCTATCTATCTATCTATCTATCTATCTATCTATCTAACTAACTAACTAACTAACTAACTAACTAACTATCATTTCAACTTATATAGCTGGTCATCTCAAATATGTGACTGGGGAGCTTACAGCAATTAAAAATAGAATAACAAAATATTACACACACACACATACACATCCCACGAGTTTGAAATCACATTTACATACAGTTAGTCCTCGACATTAGTTAGTGACAGTTCAAAGTTGCAACGGCACTGGAAAATGTGACTTATGACCGCTTTTCACATTTGCAGTGTTCCCCCCCCCATGATCATGTGATCAAAGTTCGGTTGTTTGGCAACTGGTTCTTATTTATGACTTGCTGTGCCCCAAAGTCATGTGACCTTCTGACTAGCAAAGTCAATGGGGAAGCCAGATTCACTTAACTAGCTTACCAACTGAAGTGATTCACTTAACAACTATGGCAAGAATGGTTGTAAAGTGGGACAAAACTCACTTAAAAAATGTCTCACTTAACAACAGAAATTTTGGGGTCAACTGTTGTCATAAGTCAAGGACTACCTGTATATTATTTCAAGTTCTTTGAGATCTGTAGCCATAGTTTTCCCATGAACTAGGTTCTGAATCTCTTGTAAACTCCACTCTTAACAAGTACAGGACTTTAGCTTCTGTCATTGTTTGAACAAGAGGAAAAGCACTTTCTTTCCTGTCATGCTTACCAAAATCATTAAGGGAATTTATATAACCTAATACTTGGTCAGGTTCAAATTTGCTTACTTTGACCAAAGGCAGATACAGTTTTCATCTTCACAGTTTTGCCAACCTTGAGCACAAAGTATTTCATATTTAAATATTCAGATATTATTTTTTGTACTATTCCTACCTGAGAATTTCATGTGTATGTTCTCTGAGGTTTTTGCTCCAGTTGTTTAAGGGAAGGCCATATCTTTTCTACCATCAATAAAACAGATTTGGAGGGGGTAAGGAAAAGCCAGAGGTTAAATGCAGCCATGTTTGGGATATTTAATGAGCAATGAAATTTTATCCATGAATTACCAAATCATAGTTTGCATTTTTTTCTCTCCCATAGAAAGGATGTTAACCAGGGGCTTAAGCTGAAAAGTACCAATAATATTTAACAGATGTTGGATATACTCTGCAGAAAATGTTTATACTGTAAAAAGTTTCATTTGCTAATTTTCTGTGCAGCAACCTCAACTTATGAGTGGAGGGAAAGTTTGCAGCTATAAATTAAATGCAAAGTAAAAAATATTCCTTTTCCAATTGTTTGCTAATGAGGAAAACTTACTAGCTGCTGAATGATAGGTATCCTTAAGAAGTATATATTGCTTGGGGGTCTAGCAGGGAGGTAGGAAAGCATCAAATTGCCAAAGTCCATGGTAATTCCGGATCTAACACAACCCGGAATTACCCCACAATATTACAAGTTAGAAACAGCCCCAAAAAGTCACATTCTCCAACAGAAGTAATTCAAAGTTGCTTGATGTCATAAATCTCCACCTCAAGGGCCCCAAGCATGGGACAGCTCGTTTCCCGCTGGAAGAAAGATCACCTAGCCAAAACAACTCTCTTTATCTCCACTCCTCCCCCTTTAGGAAGGTGGCAAGCCCGAAACCCTTCCCCCCATGACTGCCACAGAGAAAGTAAGAAAAAGAATATATACTAAGCCTAACTAAAATGGCTACACATATGTCAATTTCGGGCTTGACACAAGTCTCACCTGACATGTTCTTCCTTCTCAGGTCTCCCCTGATGAGCGCATCTCCTCTCTCAAGCGTCTTGTCTCAGAAAAGCTGAATGTTCCAGTCTCTCAACAGCGCTTGCTTTTCAAAGGCAAAGCTCTGGCAGGTGGGTGCTAAATGATAAATCATAAGGCAGCTGGTCATACAGGGGACATTAGGTTCATCCAAGGTAGCAAATAAAAAAGCCTAGAAGACATAAAAAAAAAAAAAAGATGGGCAGATTCATTAAGAGGAATGAGACCAATAGTTTCTGTGACACCCAGTTTGACAGAGATATGAGAGAAACTAGCACACAACTCCCCAGGTTTATGGGGGAGCAGCAGCTCCCATTTTCTGCCAGTCTCAAAAATGTAATAATTCAACTTGTCCTGATAGTTCTTTTATTTTCCTATAAATTCAGTGTGGCCAAAGAGGTTAAAATGATGGCTGTGATAGTGCAATTGAAACTCTGCCTTTTTTTGTGTTGCATCAATGATGCACATAAAAAAAACAGGCAGAGTTTGAATGTTGCTATCTCATCTCCCCTTTTGACTTGCAGTATTTTAAACCGTGTCCTGTAAACACCTCTGGATTCTACAGCACTGTAATATCTTCGCAAGAACACACGTCTATCTTGCTGATCCCTGGCTTATATTGTAGTTTGTAGTAATCCATGCAAACATTTGATGTTTATATAGTTTTCGGTATTTATAAAAACATTAAATACCATTTGTGTTGAGGTATGTGTGGTAGATGGTATTTATAATTTTATTAATAATTTTATTTTTGGTACAAAGCTTTTATCTGTAATTAAAGTATCCAGCTAAAATTTTGCTACATAGCTCGATATTTGCCTTCCTTTCCCTTAAAAACATCCTACTAAGTTGCTCTGATTACATAGGTTTTTGTATGGTTCTTTTTAATATCCAGTTGTCCTTATTAATTTTGATTTGTATCATACAGTAGTGAGTTTTATGGGCTTGCAGCATATTTCAGAGAAAACTAGAGGCTCCTCTGATTAGCCAGTTGCAAATGATACTCTGCTGTGTCATTAGGCGAGTGGATGTTTGTGACAGTATGAAAAATATTCTTTCATGAAATATTTACTTCATAATGTCCATTAAGAACTAAGGAGTTTATATGCTTTTTGGAATGGAATAATAGCAAATGTCTGCTCTTTTTAGAAACTCGGCAAGCAGCTGACTAAATGCTTTGCTCTTCGCAAAAACTAGCCAGTTTCCTGATTCCATATCATTAAAGAGAATATTATTTGGATTTGGAGAACGAAAGTTCACTTGTTCAGACTTGAGATCTTACCTACAATTATAGAAAGTAAATAGGATGATAATAGCCTCTGGTCCTCAAAATTACAATTATTAGGTATGTGTTCATTCTTAAGCTGTTGGGGTTTTTTCACCACCAACATAATAATGCAGCCAAGCTTCTGGAAATAAAGATTTATTTATTCAGTGCAGTATGTTCACTATTAGATCTGCTTTGAATCAATTGCTTTATGCCTTTGTCAACTCAGCAGCCTCTTCCTTCTTTCCTAGATGAACACCGTTTGTCTGATTACTCTATTGGGCCTGAGTCAAAGCTCAACCTTGTGATCAAGCCTTTGGAGAAGGCATCACCTGAGGATCCTAGCAGCAGAGCTGGCCTCCCACTGAGTTCAACCATCTGGCACACGCTGGCTCAAGTCCTGAGCAGGCATTACAGCGTGTCTGATACTGAGAAAGTACTGGAGCAGGTACAGAAGGTAAATTTTCCTCTCTATATGAATGTGTAAGGAGGGAGATCTCTAACTCTGATAGCATTGTGCAACTGTTTGTAGGCATGCCAACATGACCGCCGAGTAGCAGTAGTAGATATTACATGGGTATTAGAATAGTTTTGAAAAAGCTCAGCAGATTCAGTCCTCTTCAGAAGAGAGGGATCAGTCCCAATAGTCCACTAGAAAGCAGGAAAAAAGAATCAGATTGGGTATTATTTGGGGGCAGGGAGAGAATTGTAAATAAAAATAAGTTCATTCATACATAGAACTTACTATTGAATTTTATCTTGCATGCTTGCACAAAACCATAATGTTTGGCCTGAGAAGATTAAAGTAGCAGAACAGACATATTTTAACTGAAGTCTCCTGAGTTAAAATCTATCACTCTATTAAAGAATAATAGTGTTATGTTTACTTTTTGTAGCTTTCTACGTAATATAGCAAAGAGGCCATATAGTCACCCACCTCAGTATTAAATATTAGAAATGCTGCTTACAGAGCAGAAAAGTAATCTGTCTGTTCCCCTCTTTATTCATGCTTCAGCAACCTTCTGGGTTCTTTTTAATCTACTAGAGTAAGCAGGCAAGAATCGTCTGCCCAATTGTTCATCAGTCTGCTTCCTCTTTTTGTCCAGAGATGAGGTAATAATTATGAGGTAATTGTAGAGCATGAGACAACTCATACAATGGCAGAGCAATGCTACATTCAGGTTCCAACACCAGAGCATCCACAATATCCAGATTTTGCTATTTGGGAATGAACAAAGCTTATGTTTTGAAAATACATGCTGGTTACCAAGCACCCGAATTGTGATTGCGTGACTGTGGTGATACAGCAGTGATTGTGTGAGGACGGAGGACTATTCATGTTGCTTTTTTCAGTGACATTGTGTCTTCAAATGATCGTTAAACAAATGTTTGTATAGCTCAACCATTGTATTTCTTGGTGATTTCCCATTTCAGTGCTGATCAAGTTCAATTTACTTTCTAAGGTCAGCCAAAATCAGGTACGTGCTGCCACCTAGTTGTTCTCAGGGGAGGAAATGCAAAGAATCTTTCCTGGACCATGTTCCCAGGAATTTTAGTATTGCAGCCTCCGTTGCTTTAAATTTATTTCCGTTAATGCATACATCAATGTCTGTCTGTCTCTCTGTTTTTATTTGGAAATGTTTTGGCCTTTGCCCAACAATTTTATTCAGTCCTTTCTCTTCCTTCCCTTCTCTAGGATTATGAGCGAAGTCTTCGATTGCTGAGCCTAGATGACATAGAGCGTTTAGCTACACGCTTGCTTCATCCTGAAGTAGCTGAGGCTGTGGAAATGGGTTTTTTGGATTAGCTGCTGAACTGGAGAATTGAGCCCTATTCATCACTTTGGACAGTAAACCCCTGGGCAGGGCCCAGTTTGGGGCCTAATGCGAGTGATTTCTCTGGACTGCTGTTAAAGGGTCATGGAGCATATGTAACTTCTCCCCTAAAAGTGGTGATAGGTGAGATTAATCGGTTCTGTCTAGTATGTTCAACAGAAGTGGGGGAATGGCATTCTTTAGATAAATTGTTTGCCTTTTCTTGAGAGATGCAGTTACCTTTGCAGTTGAGGATGCCTTTGTTTATATATTATAATTTCTTGTTTAACCCCAAAGCCTGGTTGCATACTAATAGACTCCTTTTTATTGTTTTATTCAAAGGCTTTTCCAACAATAAATTTCACTGAAGCTTACAGGCAGAAAATCAAATCTGAATAATAAAAATTTGAATTATGGCTTTTGAAAACTTAGCATTGATACTCTCCAGAATGACTACGTAAGCTTTGACAATGTAAGAGCTCATTCTGAGTCCCCTGTTTAATTAGCATTGTTAGATAAGAAAACATTTGTCGGATATTTTAGGTTATTAAATGTTTCAAGAAAAAAGACAAATGAATGTTAATCAGGTGGCTAAGCAGTGTTTACTGGCAGAGTTCTGCATGTATCCTCTATGTCTTAATATTTCTTAGGTAGATCAAATGAGCCCTTCTAGCAGTATATTCGGCTGCAATCCAGAGCACACCTAAATTTGCTGGTTCATTGCCCTTCCCCAAATTAAGTGTAATCCAGATGTGTGAGGGTTTTTTCAACTCCCAGAATTCCCAATCAACATCTGGAGAGCGCCTAATTTAGGAAGGCTGGGCTCAGGGATTGTTAAAATAAGGCAGCAAATGTCCCCAGAAAAAGCAGATCTCTACTGCCTTGGCTAAAAGCAAGCCCCCCTCTACCTAAGCCCTCCCTTTTCAGTATTTTTTATTGCAGATCCTGAAAACGGGGTAGAGTTACAAGTTGATCATAAGCCACACAGAGAAGGATTGTGTCTATGACCCTTTATTTTTATGGCTGTATCCGTATTTCTGAGTTCTACAAGAACAGGATTTGGTTAAGTAATTCTTGACTCCAATGAAAGAAGAAAAACAAAAACTCTCCTACCAAATTTCTTAGTGTTGTTTTCTTATCCTTACGGAGATGGTTTAAACTTTAAATGGAGCAAAAGACAAAAGTATGGTATATCCAGCCTTCCATGAAAATGTGACTATGATTGCTCTGTAAATCACTGATGAATCAACCTCACTGTTAGAATTATGACTGTAATCTATCCGTGACATCCTTGATTTTACACGGTCTCAATGAAGTTCCTCCAATGTTGCTTGTTTTTTAAGGTAGGGTCCCAAATGCTGTAGCCTTTTTTATATATATCATATATATAAAGAAGGCATCTGATACCTCTGATTATTTTGAATGCCCTCCTCTGTACTTGTACCTATTAAAATTTTTTTTTTCCAAACATGGTTATCAGAATTGTCTGGAATATTAACAGATGTGAATGCTAGGGTATTAAAAGTTTTGGCAGTTTTACTTTGATCTTTCTTGCAACAATCCATAATCCAGAGTGCGCCTCTTACATATTTCTGCATAACTCACATGGAATCAGCATCTTCATTGAGCTATCAACTGTGACTCCAAGATTAGCTTTTAAGGGCTCAACAGCCCCCACAGAAAATGGTAAATGTAATTATTTTTTACCTTCTAACAAAAACGGGAGTTTCTCATAAGTTTTCCTACTGGTGGTGAAATAATTCAGGCTTGGTCATCTGGAGCCACATTTTTCTAACGGAACAAAAACCAGCTGAGTGTTTCCCACAATGCTGTAATCTCAGCAATATTCAGTACCACAAGTCGAAATCGATACTGTACAGCAGGAACTGAGCTCTGCTTTTGATTAGAGCAATGGCGCTAGGAGATGGAAAATTCTCTGCTGCTTCTTCCTGCCACAATATCTAATGCCATTATGTGATCAGTGTTTCCTCCACCAAATAAGATGCTATGAATGCCTAAATTGGGAAATCACTGGAAGTGCTGTATTGTAGTTGTGTGCTTGTGTGTGCACATATATGTGTGTAAACATTAAGAAATTCAGGAGTTGTAAGAACTCTTGATTGGTGTACGTGTGGTAAAGGGAAATAGTAACACTTAGTATTCCAACTCTGGAGGCACTTTCCCAGATCTCCTTCATCATATATGTTTAAACTGCAGGATAGCATGTGGATGTATATAGTATACATCCACAAGCATAAGTTATATAGTAAAGTATATAGCTTATGTAGCAATGGCAATTCAGAATAATCAGCAAAATGTCTTCACCTTAGGTTACCAGGGTCAAAAGTAGTAGCATTACAGTAGTATTAATTATGGTTTCAGGTTTGATACTAACAAGACCAGTGTAGCTTTTTTCCTGGTACCTTTTACATGGATTGGGTCTGAAACTTTTAAAATTCCCACCCAGCATCTGGAGAAACCTAAATTGAGAGGAAAAAAAATCAGTTGATGAAGGTGTTTCCTGAACCAGGCTATTGCATTAAGCCAAATGTTCATTTGTTTGGGCATATCATGGTGCAATGTATCATATATGTGTTTGCATGGGTTTAGTATATGGTGTGAGCCAGACACAGAGGGAAATGGAGCCGGGATGAGAATGTTAGGAATAGCATTGAAGTACAGGAGAAATATAGAGGGAAAAAAGAATGGTGTATGAAAAGAGTCAACAGCTTGATATACCCAAATATTTGAACTAGCTAGCTAGCATAACCAATGGCAAAGCATGTATTGGGTTCTTGGTGCTACTTATTAACCTTTCCATGTATGGAATTTTTCATGACTCTACAATACAACCCTGTATTTATTTTTTGGTTCTTGGAGGTTTTTTTTTTAAAGGAAGAGGTATAATTTGATTAAACAGAAACCAGAGGGAGCAAGGTTTTATCTGTTCACTAAGTGTCTCTCCAGAGAATGAGAAGCAAGCAGATGTCTCTTTCATACCTTTCTCCCCAATAATCAGCTTCAGTTTAATTGCAGCCACGTTTTTTTCCCTTATGCACTTCAGCCGCACAGTCCAATTCATATTGTTTTGCTTTTGGTATAGGAGTGAGCAGCTGAGGTGTGCAGAGGGAAACATTTATCAAAGCTGCAAGGGTTACTGGACTTGGTATTTCACTGGGTGGATGCGATAAAGAGCCCTTTGCTAGAGGCTGGGGTGGTGATCCACAAAATAAAATTGGAGTGCTCTCTCTTTCCTCAAAGGACCAGTTTTTGGCCTCTGGGCTACCAGATAACTCTCCTGTGCAATGGTTAGTTTAATATATGACTCTCAGTGTTTACCTACTTGAACAAAACAGTCTATTCTGCAGAGTGTCAGTACTGTGATTGCTCTGTACTTTGTGATCAGATCTGTGCTAATGGGTTGTTATTTATTTATTGATATCCTGCCTTTATTATTTTTACATATAACTTAAGGCAGCAAACATATCCTCCTCATATTTTCCCTATAACAACAACCCCAAAAGGTGAGTTGGGCTGAGAGAGAATTACTGGTCCAAGGACACCCAGCTGGCTTGCGTGGCTAAAACAAGACTAGAACTCACAATTTCTGGTGCACCTACAGAGCAGGAAGGGAAAACATGGCTGCAAATGTTTGGAGGCGCAGCATTTGTTTCATGCCTTGATTAAAAGTAGGAGCATTTAAAATAATACTCTGAATGGAATCTACACTTTTTGTTCAGACCTTTCATTGTGCCATGATATAGTTGTATAAGAATGGTGTTCCTGTGGGTACTGGTTTCATGAAATCAGAGATGATTTTGCCCTGGGATCAAAAAAGTGGCTTAAAAATAGTTGAAATATGAAGTAAGTGGACGGGATAATTATAAGCAGCTGCATCTTCAGTTGCACAAGCTGTTCCTGGGTTTTAGGCAACCTTGGTAGCTATTTTGCAAAACTAACTTTGAAACTGTAATTTGGCTCAGCCTTGGAGGGTAGGGGGGGAGAGTCACAAAAAGAATCTTGATTGTATCCTAAATGCTTATATATGCTCACAGAGAAAAATTAAAGGCAAAAATCCAGCTAATTCAGGGTGTTATACCAATATGGCCCAGATTTTAACAATTTTACTTTGATGCGAAATAACTCACTCAGTGAGGCAGGCAGACACTTTTTCAAGTCACTCCAAAGTCAAGTCCATGGAACCTACATATTCATTTTCACACAAACTCGTGTTTGTGTTTCCAGTAAGGATTTGAAAATGAATACTGTAGATCTGCACAGGTCTAACTCTGCAGACACAATGTTTGTATCAACTCACTTCCTGTCAGGCCTAATATTTTCTAACATCATTCATACATTCTGTAATAAGAAAGAATGGATTTTTAAAACTGCAATGTCTATGAATAACTTGCATATGTGAATGGGCATCATTGATGTATTGCCACAAATGGAACTTGCACAATGCCTCACAATAATTCAAAGGCAAACTTTTCTAGTATTTCCTATTCATATACATTCTGTTTCTTCAGAAGGGGATTGATACATGGATGCTTGTTACCTGAATTATGGGAATGGGTGAACAAAGATACCAAAATCAGAAAACTGATAGCTCAGAACATTTGTGTTTTGAGTGGGGAATCCATTAGAATCCTTGCCCTCAAATCACATAGCATCAAGCAGGGTTGATTCTGTTATCATCCCAACTAGCTAGAAAAATCAGATGATGAGAAATGGTGTGGCATAGTTCCTAAAATGCCTGGAAGTTTTTTTATTTTGCTTTTTAATGGCAAAGATTCGAGTTACAGAGTCAGAGATATTTTGATTTCAAAATGGGAAGTGACAAATGCCTTTTGAAGGTACTTTCCTGTTAAAGATAACACACACTGATGCCAAGAGATAAAATTCCATTTATATTCTGTTTTATCCCTAGGTATCAAGGCAGATTTATTTTGGAACATGAAAATGTAAGCTACAATAGCTACTGTTTGAAAAATGTAGGTTGGTCCCAAGTCTATTTGGTACTTTGTTTATCTCTCCTCACTCATTCATTCATTGACCCTATCTTGGTTCACACAGATGTATCTACCATTTAATTTCTTAGTACCTGATCCCAGCATCTCTGGGGCTAGTTGACCAGGGCATAGAAACCATGGCCAACACGGACTGAATTATCATAATTGCCTTCAGTACAGTATTTTATTTCCAAAGGAATCAGTTTGCATAGTCCACAGACAAGTTGCCACAGAAGACTCAAGCAATTGATAGCACGATCATGAAGATGATAGCGGTCTGGGGAAAACTTAAAGCTGTTTACAGTGTGTTACGTTTAAAATGCCGCACAAAAATGTAAAACATAAGCCTGTTTGTTCTAATGGTTAAAATGCTGGATTAGAATCGAGACAGTGAATCTAATCCTGCCTTATACACAGAGGTGGTATTCAGCAGGTTCTGACCAGTTCTAGAGAATCGCTAGCGGAAATTTTGAGTAGTTCAGAGAACCGACAAATACCACCTCTGACTGGCCCCGCCCCCATCTATTCTCCGCCTCCTGAGTCCAAGCTGATCATTGGCTGGGTCTTCTTTTGTTGCCCTGCACAGGAGAACGGAGCTGGAAAGCAGGTTAGTGGGATGGGGAGGGAATGTGGATTTTGCAGTAACCTTCCCCCTGGAGTGGGATGAGAAATGGAGATTTTACAGAATCCTTCCCCTGCCATGCCCACCAAGCCATGCTGCTAGTAAAAAAATTTGAATCCCACCACTGCTTATACATCTGAATGACCTTAGGCTGGTCATTCTCTCAACCCTAAGAAGTAGCCAAGGACAAACCACTTCTAAAATCTTGGCAAGAAAACTGCAGATATTTTTTTGTGGCCACTAAGAGTCAAGGTGACTTGATGGACTAGTAACAAAATGCAAAACATGATAGAAATTCTGCCTTCTGGATTATAGCCTTAACAAATGTGGAGGGAAGGGTTTTATGATTTGGGGTTTACCCTTTTTATCTTACGTGTCATGACTTACATGCCATTGTTGATGCTGTTTGATCTTTGTTTGCTGTCCAGAGTCCCAGTTGTGAGATTGACAGTTATAATTAATCTAAATAAATAAAAATAGGTTCCTGCATGGAAGAGATTGGTTTGTTGCCCAAAACAACTGAAAAGATTTAGCTGAGTTAGACATGGCAGAGAACAACTGTTGAAACTAATAAGGTTGTATATGGTGTTAGCATTTCAGAAGGCAGCTAATATTCTGGACTGCTGTTTCTAGTATTTTTATTATTAAGAGTTTTTAAAATCCCACCTTTATATAACTCAAGGCAACAAATTTACTTGATATGCCTGCCTATTTTCTCCACAACAACCTTGTGAGGTGGGCCGGGCTGAAAGAGAGGTCCTGACTCCAGACGACTCATCTAGCTTTCATCCCAAAGGCAAAACTAGAACTCACTCTCTTTGTTTCTAGCCCAGCATCTTTGCCATTGAATCCTCCTGGCTCTTTCTTTTTAATCTGCCTATTTTAAAAAAATTAATCTCTATATTTTAATCTACATATCACATTTTGTAAATATTAAAATAGATTGTTATTTGTAATGCTTTTAACCAGTTGGTTTGCTCCCTAGTGGAGAAGCAGGATAAAAATATTGTAATTTAAAAAAAAAATCCAAATGAGTCTAAAAGTAATATTTTATTTTATATATATATATATATATATTAAAGATCTCCACACACACATGCACATACACTCCGCTACTGAGCCGATGAAAAACAGCGGTTATTTGACTATGATAACCTGGATATAAATATGAACTGAATATTAATTAAAGCGGTACAAAAAAAAACAAAAAAAAAACCCTTCACTCTCCTCCCCTCACAGCCGGCCTCTCCGGAGCCTTCCCTTTCCACCCCACGTGGCTGGGAGGAGCGTCGCCGCGGCATGGCTGTTCCGGGGTCCGGGCTTGCGTTGTATCCAGACACGGGTATATGGGATCATGAGAAAGACCCGATCCGAGCCTGGCCTGGGCTGAGCAGGCGAGAGCGGGATGCAGCCGTGAAAGGAGGAGGGCGGGGAGGGGGGTGCATCGGAGGATCAGGGCGCCGGGGTTCATTTCCCCCCAAAAGCTTCTTTTACTACGCAGGGACGATCCCCTCGTTCTCATAAGCCTGCCGGTGCCATCCCTTCGCGGGTGAGCGCGGTGTAGAAACTATTGCATGCGGGGAAATAAGAGACGGGAAAGGCAAGGGCGATGGGGGTCAAAAGCGTGTAATTATGGTGTGTCCAAGTCCCCGCGTGTTTGCTGTTGAGGTCTGTGCTGGAACAGCAACTTTCAAATAAATAAGATAAAATAAAACCTAGATTGCAGTTTTAAAAAGTTTGGCGGGAAGAGAGATAAACGGCTAGGGCGGTTATTCATAATGCTTCCCGAAGCTATGGACGAAGCAATGTCCCACCTAAAAGATGGGGACGCTAATGAAAATATTTAACAATATCTTACAGTTTAAATCAACCCTACAACCTTTTAAAAGTGGAGCTGAGGTCAAACAAGAGGGCCCCATGTGTCCTAGTGTTTTGGCATTAAAAAGAAAAAAATGCTCCCTTGAGTCAACTTCAGTTCCTGGTGACTACATTGGCCATAGTATGAAAACAGTTTCTTTCACCTTATTTTACAATGTTTTTTTTTTTAATCTTCCCACATTTGTCTTCAGATGTTTGCCAATCCACATACTAACTAGTCCAAATATGCTTAGTTTTTATAAACTCAGCTATCAAAATGGGCATTATTAAACACATAAAAGGATTAGAAGCTCTGAACACTTTATTTGTCTACATAGTACAAAGATAACATTTATTTACCAAGAGGTATAGTTTTATAATACTATATAAAAATTTAAAACACAACTGAAGAAATGAATGCAATGTTATAAATAAAAATAAAATAATAAAAAAGTTAAAAATAAGACCTAAGTTAAAAACTATTCTCCAGCCTATGTGGGCATTAAGATAGCAATAATTAAAAGTTCAGGTGTGGGGGAAGAAAAACAAGAAGAAAGGAAATCATGTTGGCGCCAGGTGAATTTCCCCAAGGAAATAATACAGACAGAAAGCTATAATTAAACAAGTCCTGTCTCTAGTATCCACCTCCTGAGGTTCAGGATGAAAGGCTTGGTGAAGTGGTGGATACTGAGATCACAAGCTGTTAAGAGGCCTGAGTCTATCTCTTGAAACGAGCTTGAAAACCATTGAGTAAACAGAGATTAATATATTTCCCTTTTAAAGATAGGGAGAAGGTATGATATGAGAAGAAAGTGTGAGGAAGTGGGGAGTTTCCCTATACTGTTTTCTATATTTTATGTTCCTTATGATTATCTCAACATCAGTGAACTGAAAATTCCTTTTCCATCGTCAACGTTGGCCAAGATTGCCTTGGGTTCTCTGGCCCCAGATCCTGAGCCTCGCAAAGGAGGGATCATCAAAGAACTGGATGTGACAGACAACATTTTACATGTGTGAGTGTGGCTTATAGGCCTCCATCTATAGCAGGGGTCCCCAAACTTGGTAACTTTAAGACTTGTAGACTTCAACTCCCAGAATTACTCAGCCAGCTGAGGAATTCTGGGAGTTGAAATCCACGAGTCTTAAAGTTGCCAAGTTTGGAGACCTCTGATCTATAGCTAGAAGAGGCAGGGGGCATGATCTATCAAGAGAAACAGCCTTAGGGGAACCAGAAGGAGCAAGCTGGCTTCTGCTTGCTAGTGCAATTTCATGTTTGATGTCAAGTTTGCCATTGGGTTGATAGAGCCTGCTTTCAGAACTGGACATCACCCTTGGAGACTTAAAACAAGAGAATTTGGTGGTCAGGGCTAGTTTGATGAAAGACCCAGCATGCTGTAAAAGTATAAAGTAGTGGATTGGGATTGGAAAGACCCTGATTCATATTCTTGATCAGCCATAAAGCTCTCTGAGCCTAGGTTGGCCAGCTTTATTTATTTTATAGAGTTGTTGGGAGGATAAGAATTGAGAGAGATTATTACATATGTCACCTTGAATTCCTAGAGGAAGGTGGATTATAAGTGCAAAAAGTAAAGGAAATCCATCAGTAAGGTCTGCACATTCAGACAATAAATCTAATATATGGTATTGTAGAAAGTGCAGTGTTGATGTGAGACCAGTCTTGTACATTTAACAATGCGCCATTCATTATTTTTGTTACTATTATTTCTAGGCAGTGGAGAGCAGAGGAAGCTAGGATCCTGCGTGTTTCCATTAACTCCTTCTTGGAGCATCTCTCCTTGGTGGTGGAAACTATGGATCTATTTGGACCACCCGTAGCTTGATAAACTGTTATATCAGATCAATAAAATGGATTTTGTTGGATACTGGACTTGGCCACTCACGGCTGATTTCAGAGGAGGCATTGGACAGTCCTTTCTTGGAGCCAGGATGGAAAACAAGATGAGTACTTGTACTATGGAGCTCAAGAACCTGATAAACCATTTTGCACCAAGAAGTAGGCAAGTTTAGAACTGCCTTGGCCTCCCCACCCCCAAAAAAACAACCTGATGTTCTCCAGATATGTTAACACTTCAACTTCCACAAGCTACAAGCAGTCTGGCTAAGGTTCTTGATTGGGAAGATACATTTTACTGAAAGTTATGTTTATATGATATGTATTTTTATTATATTATCCCATTCATCTTACACCCTGCATGTGTTTACTAATAAAATATTTTTGACTATGGGAAAAAAACTGCTGGACAAATGATGTGGTCATAACAAAATCTTAAGAAATATGTTTTTGGGGGGCGGGCTCCTGAATTAAAAGGTTTATGAACACGATGCAAACGTTGGATGCATGATGCGCAATGTTTAGAAGAGGATGCCATCTGTGATTTAGAAATAGAAACAGGAAACACCATCTATTCTTTTTGTTAAATATGTCAAGCAGGCAGTCCTGCAAGGTTTATGAATTTATGACTGGTGATTTCTCCAGTAAATGAAATTAACCGACCTATGATTGGTTCTTCCATCCAGCTGGTTTCATAGGGCTGTTTTGAAATATTAACAGGAAATTGGTCATCTGAGTAGTTTTTTCCAAATCAAAGCCAAAATATGTTGGAAACCAGTTTTTCTGTTTTCTGTTGTTTCCTTGCTACGTATTCTTTTTCCCTTGAAGGTCACATAATAATATGTGATTGGTAGTTTTTAACTTGAGGAAATCTGCCAGTTTCTAATCTAGGAGTAATCCCGGTTGAATTTAATGGAGTTAAAACCCAGGTTAAGTTTGCATAAAGTCATAACTGACAATGTACTATTTGTCTGCATTTCTGCTGAAAGCACTCAGCACATAGTGTAACTCTAAGTGAATAAATCAATCCACCCCCCAGTCAATGTGAGACAGTACAAAATTGAGCAGAAAATATGGGTTACAGTAACAAAAATATGAACTGACAGTGAATGGCACCCATTGCCAGAAATATTGGGAAAATGCTTTGGGCAGTTACTTTCTCAACAGGGGCTCATGCCAACAATCCATAGATATGACTGCTCTTGTAACACATCCTTTCACCCTCCACAAGTCAAACTGCTTAATCATACAGAGAGTTCATTTGGGTGTCAGATACTCCCTGTGACAGGTATATAATACTAGTACCTGTAAATTGATAAACCAGCAAGGATGCAGATAACAAGTATGGCTCTGCTTTGCTCTGGTTGCTTACACCAGAGCTGCTCCCCCAACTTTTTGGGCACCAGGGACTGGTTCCATGGTGAGACATTTTTCCACGGACCGGAGAGGGTGTGGTTTCAGGTGTTGCCTGTGTCCTGTGAATGGGGCCTTGCTTGTTTCTGGCATGACTCGGCGCTGTACTGGTCCACAGACCGGGGGACGGGGAGTGTTTGGGACCCCGGTTTATACAGTGGAGAACATACATGGCTTGATTTTGAGTCACACTTGGCCCATAGCCTTCATTCAAAAATTGCCATTCAGAGTGATAATGACAATTTGCTGTGTGGAAGGAAATTCAGAAAGGGCAAAGGAGAGAACTGGCCAATGGCCATTGTTCAGTTTTAAAGGTGGGTTGAATAAATCCACAGCAGAAAGATCTACCTTTTTTGAAAAAAATTGAGGTCTTTAAATTGTAAAAAAAAATTAAAAGAAAAAAGTGCAGAAAGAAGGGGAAAATGATAAAGAAGTGGTTTCCAAATTTCCACCATACTCAGCATAAGTTAATATACTTTTTCACCTCTTCTTAAAGTTACAAATAAAAAAAACTCATCGACATAGCCTAATTTTTATTTACTGTATAAATAAATTATAAATAATAATTAGCAGTCCAAAAATAATCTTTTCAATCCTAGTTCAGCAAAAAATCCGTTAGGAGTAGTAGGTCCAGGAATATCAAACAAATTGTGTATCCCTGTTCAAATAGTCCAACTTTGTATAGCATTCCTTCTTTTTGCCCTATAGAACCTTGATCTTTAAATTATTCATACGATATCACAGGATTTCATTTTTCATCACTTTCTGGTATTTAAAGAAGGCTTTAGAGTTTTCACCGCCTTTCTTAGTAAAAATCCACAGAGGCATCACCCATCATTTCTTGTTGCAGCTTTTCATAACCAGATTCTTTTCTTGATTTGTCTTTTGTAATCTCATTTTAGTAATTTAAATTTTATTGTCTTCCATGCCTTCAAACTCCGTAATGTTTATGTCAGGTTAAAGGTTTTTCCCCCCCTCGTTATCTTCTAAAAGTTTATCAATTGAAATATGTATCTTTTCTGAGATGCTAATTATCAATATTTCAATCCATGTTTAAAAAAAACAACTCTTTAAGATACAAAAAAGATATACAGTACAGTATTGTAGCTGGTTTAGCCATTTTAGCTCTTTACTGCCTGGCCCTTTTGCTCCCTCTAGCGTCCATTTGCAACTTTCATCAAGCCTCAGTTACTAATATGGATTTAGTTCAGTTTCAAGTCATTTCTCACAAATATATTATTTGACTAATTTTTCAAATCTTACAGCAAAAATAATATTTCAAATCTCTGTGGTCTTCCGATCCACTTAAAAATTTTTAAATTCTTTCTTTCTTTCTTTCTTTCTTTCTTTCTTTCTTTCTTTCTTTCTTTC